GCATCTTAGACTGGCATCCCTCACAATGTCACCGGTTACTTTTCCAGTATCAAATAGTGATACCCCTCACAATGTCTCAGGTTACTTTTTCAGTATTAGATTTATATGTAAATTAACCTATACATCACTTTTTGAAACCAGACTTTTTTCTATTTTTTCGTGCCTTAAAACCACCTGTCTATATTTACCTTTTTCTATTATTACAGAAAGGGATCATCTTAACTACGTGGGTAACGTCAATAAATGTCCTTGTGTATTGACAGAGTTTATGTGTAATTGTGTATTTATTTGGAGTTATCGTTGATTAGTTGAGTATGAATACAGAAAAGCTTGTTCTCTTTATGTTGAACAACGTCATTTTCCCCTTCGCTAGGTTTATAGGTTTCATAATTGATGTTATTTTGAGCAGTTTGAAACCTTTGTTCAATATTCATTTATCGAATATCAGATTATAATCTTATCCATTTTTTGTGTTGTTTTCCCCCGTAGAGCATGCTATCAAGACTATAAAGATATATCATTATGGGTTGCTACACTATAATTTTACAGCAGCAGGTTCAGTACGAAAAGCTTCTGTACAAATTTTACTACAACATAATTATTTCGTACCTTAGCTCAGGTAATTGGGCAGAAAGTAATCGGATCGATATTATCCGGTCTAAATGTTCTCGCTTCTGGCAGGAAGGTCATATGATGTTGCCTTTGCATACACAATCCTTCTATGTCTGTCTTTTTCTCTGTTCTCGTTGGTTTTATGGATGTAGTAATGTAAAGGCTAAAAGATATTAAACCCAACACGAAAATGACAAACATTTTGCGTTCTAAGACATTAACAAATCTGAACAAATAACTGCAGCAAACTTGTAAAAACTATAATACACTTAATTTTACCGTTATTACGTCACGTGACTTAGGTATATACTTAGTCATAGCGGCAATACAACATTTTTGTATACAGTATTGATATATTTAATTATACACTTTTAACATCACACGATGTACATTTTGCATTCGTCAGATACCGATAGGAAATTTTAAGATACTGCAAATAGTCAATTAATATTATTTTTTGCAAAGTAAAAGCAGTTATTACTGTACATTTCATAGATACGTATTCTCGCAAATACCTAGCTTGGAAACACATTCGCAATGGAGCTGGGGAGTTCTATTTACTTTTTGACCTTTTTGCTGTATTTCATAATACCGTATATTTCTTCATTTGCTAATGTTCAATACATATTTTATATTATAAGATGGTAAAAAGTATATACAAAACACAATAAAAGGGACGTAAACATACATGTTACATACCACGTTCTGTATTAAAAGCTTGAATTACTGTCTGTTGGCCTAATGTCAACTTAATCTGATTACATGTGTTTCATTGTAAAATATTCGTTAAATGACATGGATGCTAGCCTTCGTGTGTCAATAGATACATGTAAGGTAATGACATGCAGGAGTGAACCAGTCAGAGACGGAACAGGACAACCTCGGCTACGTGCATTTCTCCATACCTAAGGCATGTCATGCACCTATTTGCGGTTAAATAGAGTCTTTTTTGTCGTCTATGATATTCAAATATTAATATTGAATACAAATTTTCTTGGCGCTGACACCTAACATTTTTTGTTATTAGAGTTTAAAAATCTGTAAAATAAAGTTTAAAATCAACGAGTTGCAAAAAAAGGGCTTTGGCGGCACGATCTGCTTTTTCGTTACCAGCTATTCCCATATGTCCGGAAACCCAGCAAAACGTAATGTTACATTTGGATGAAGTTTTATCTAATAATTTAATTATAATAATTTTTATTTTCAAATTTAAAAAAATCCTCATTTTTTACGAAGGCTCTGTAGAACTGGTAGGGCATCCAAATAGATAATTGACTTCGTTACGATTTACCTTGATCCGGATGGCCGGGAAATGAGCTCAAAGCTCGTATTGGCCCAATCATCATTTGATTTGTAGAGAATATTGATTTATCATTTTGTAGCTGGCATCAAAACAGTTTTCTCAGCCAGTAGTGATCCTAAATGATCATCTTGCGAAAACATGGTATACAAGTGATTAGTCTTCGATATACTTCAGATATAGTCAAGTCCGGCATGGGTCATACTAATGTATTTTTTTGTTCACTCCTCAAAAGAGATGGTAATGTTGTCATTGATATCTTCATTACAAAAGTCCAACCCGAAACAGTGTTTCTGTCGAAGACCTTATTTTACTATGAAGAAACAACTGGATGTTTACCACGTTCGAACCACACTGTAGGGTCGAGACTTCATAACGCTGTTTTGGATGTGGCGCTAATTCGACTGGTTTAGCCTGTCTATATATATAGTCACGACTGTTTTAATGTTTTAATGTGATTAACATTAATCATGGCAATACAAAATAAGTCCAGCTGGACATGGAGTGACTGGCGATCTAAATACTATCTATAATGCAAAGCTAAGGGAGTTGTAACGAAACGAGGTTTAGGAATATGTGAGTGTATAGTTGTTCATTGTTAGAGAATGTAAGTTAACTATCAGTTTTAAATATGTTCAATTATTGTAGCTTGGAGTAAACGTAACCACTGTTTGTTTACATTTACTCGCCGGATTTGCTTAGAGGAGTTTGCAAGATTGTAAGTTTTATAGGACTTGATATCGAGATTACGTTTACTGCTCGGTATTCTTCTCGCTATGTAATAATTATATAGATTAACTTAGTAATGTTCTGTTAATCGTATTACGGGCCATTTTAGGCACCGCGAATCTTGTAAACTTCATGCAGTGTGTTCTGCTACGGTAGCGTGTTCTGCGCATGTCCGGTGCTCGAAGAAGCTTCACGTGAATATTCACTGCCCCATCGTCAGTTACACTCTGGCTGTTGTAGAGGTAAGTCGTGTTCTTCGATCTCAGAACCGCTAACCTAGTTCAGCCGTAACTCAGTCCCTACCTTTCCTAGATACTAGCGATGTAGGCGTCTAGCGACGTCATATAATTAAAAGTATATTTATATACGATTGTTTGGACAACAAAATGTTTTCATTTAATAATATTCCTTTGGGGAACCCATAATTCAACAAAACGAAGAAAAGAAAATACTTATTTTGAAAAGACTTCAAAATCTTCATAAAAATCAACCCTCCTCCCCTTATTCAGCACAGAGAGCAAGTTTTGAATGTTGACCAATACTGTAGGTTGTAAATTGCATTGTGTATCAATTATATCATAAGTAAGAGGAGTTAATAATTATGTATCTTTTCACTGGCTCAAGAAGAGTGTCTTATATACAGCATTAAGTTAGAAGGGGCAAAGGGTTGTTGAAATTTTCCCGGTTTTGGTCATTATCTATGTTATTTAAGTTTTACCAGTCAATGTTCATATTATCACATGTACTAGTCAGTATTCATGTTATCTATGGCATACTTATGTATCGAGAATCAAACGCCATACACAAAGAGTTTCTTTTTATGATCTAAGACATTGTGATTATGGATATTTCCCTATTATTATTTAAAGCTTTTATATATATTGTTAAAACATATATGGAACTAGGAACGGAACAAAGTACTCATATATGGTCTGTTATTGTGATAGTCAGTTGTTTTAGACTATGAGGAGAGTGTACTCCATTAGAGACTTCTATAGTGCCATATTAGTTCGTAATGTACATATATATATTCTAATGAATGCAAAAACTTATTAAACAGACTTAGTTAACTCTACGTTTTGGTGTTGTCAATTCTGTCACTGAGTGGTTACCAAAGGAATAAGCCTTGTAACCCGCTGCTGAAGAGTGCATCTCGCTGACCAGAGGTTTTTTGACCAATAATAGCCTTGCTTCCAAAGATAATAGAGGGCACCTTTCATACCGGAGAGCTTACCAAAAATACACTTTACGACCACGTCACAGAGTTTCGGTGAAGAATCCTACATATCAAGACACACTTTCTTGAACTGAGGTTTGTTCGAAAATCAAACAATCCTACCTACACATCTCATATTTTTGTCAAAGGCGAAATGCTAGCTAATCTCGCTTGTTTTATTACAATCTTTCCGAATACCCATCAAAGACATTGCGCAGTTCTCCAAATACATATTCAGACACAATGACTAAGTCTTCAACAAATGGAAACCCGTATTCAACAAGACGCCACAGGATATTCCCAATACTTAGAAAAGGACCTTGTGAATCAATGGTGATGTGTAAAACGTATTAGCAGAGGAGATTGGAATATCATTTCCTATTACAGGAAATTTAATAATTATGAAATTAAAAGTAATATGTTTGTAACACTATTCATACATTATTTATTTGTATGAGTATAAATCGACCGGCAATATACCTATAGCTTTACTACGTCGTGGAACAAATCCATTAGTGTTAATGTTGCCCATTACAATCATGGACGCTACTGATGAATTGCATGATTTTATTATTCGGAAATATGTTTTGCTGGGTATGTATGTCAAGAGACACGTATTCGTACCAGCTAAGATGAACAGAGGTAGCCTTTTTCGTGGAGGGGTGTTATGATGTCGTTGGGTAGCTCTATAATCCCTTTGCTTCGACTCCGAGATTCCGGTTTAATTTGGTGTTTATGGCGCTGTTTTGTTAATCTGCTCTTAACTTTAACAAACTTCAGACAGGAGAAGGACATAACATACACCTGTCCAATTATACAGTGTATTGCCAGCCACGTACTAAAACATTCAAATGTTTCATAACTTGTTTTCGCAGTAAAATCAGGTACGATCTGTATATATTGTTTTTATAGTTTAGAACTGCCTGAAGGTTTTTAAAATTGCAAGATCATATTTTACACGCCGATAAAACATATTTTGAGGCAGATGATGATACAGCAGTTGACTTCTGGCACAGGGAACCACGTAAAAGGCGTCAGCACCAGAAACGTAACCAAAAGTATCGCACACAAACAAAGTTAATCGATTTGCTCCTAGGTTACAATGTGCAAGAAAATAGTACAAACAAGATAATTCAACTGCCGACAGCAGGTTTTAATACAGTCATATCTAAAACCAATTAAACAGTATTTAGAATAATAAGTTTAAATAGCTTAATACATTGCAGGTGGTATACACATAACTTCTTTCATTTAAACTACCCATACTCAGTAATTATCTTAGTACTGATTCGTGGAACGCAGTTGATAAGACCTTGGCAAAGACCCAGTTACCTGTGGATTGGCTGGTAAATATAGGTATTCCCTACTTCAGATTGTTTCTGACCCTTCTTCCTGGTGTCTCGACAATGGCTTATATAAGGTCTGCGGGAGTTCTGTGTTTCTGACTATAAAATGTATTCAATACAAATCAGCTCGCGTTTTATGAACCCAATGTTTATACGTTATTTAAGTCGATGGATTTAAATTGAAATGCACAAAGTTTAACAAGATGAAACAGTAAAATGTGATTAAAATACGTGTATCACAGTTTTATCTTGAAGTGTTCAAATTTATTTATTGTCGACCACGTTACGTAGGATGAAGTTACATGGAGACTAACGTGGGATTAATTTTACCTGTTTTAACATATTGAAATAAAACTGATGAGGTCAATAAACTTGATTTTTGGGCTAGAGTTTTTGAACTACGATTTGCTTATAAACATGGGTTTGATTCCTGCAGTCACAGTAGGTTTTGATTATATCTTTAAATAGGGTCTTTATGTCTTCATTTACTTTCGTAGTTTAATTTGCACAAGCTCGTTTTTCAGTGTCAATGTCGTTGATAATGGGGTTATTTTTACGGAAAGGATAATGTATGAACATATTATAATGGGCAAGAAATTCGGGATTTTTTTTATCCTGTTAGGAATCAATAATAATAATAACATATCTAACATCTGATAGCGCATGACAATGTTTCATAAAAATAAGGTGTATGGGTGTCTTAAGATGTTACATGATTCATACTAATATAATTAGTGTGCTCTGATTCTTAAATGTTCTATTTGAGATATTTCCTTAATATTTTGTCTATAAGTTCCATTCAATAAAGCATTCGACCTCCCACTTCATTGGACAAGACACAGTCCAGTTAACCCAGAGCACAATGTAGTATTGTTGTTATTTTTATTTCCCAAATTGTGTAAGTATCTCTGGAAAATACTATTAATACTTATGCTATGAGTATTACGTTATGTAAGGGAGATAAAAGTTTTTTTTATATTTTTATTGTTATACATGTACATACATGTAAAATTAAAAACTTGCTTTTTGAAGTTGTTTCCTATTTATGCAGAAATGTACTTTTTGTATCGTTACATGTTCATGTACTGCAAATGGATTTTTATTTAATTTCGTAGATGGATTACATTTCCAATATATATATAAAAAAATAGCTTCTGTATGTCTTCAATCTGGCAGAACCATCCTAAAAATCAAAAGGAATTTTATTTCTTAAAAAAAAAAGATCAAAAAAAAAAAAAATGTGAATGATTGATTTAATCATGAACAAAAATTCAAGCTTTTGACTTTGTTAAACAACAAACCATAAATTGTTTTCTTACCAAGTTAAAAACAATATATAGTCATGTCGACTCTGTAAGACGAGCAATTGGCTCGATTAGTCTCAATGCGGTTATCAAACTTATAAAAATATATTTCATAACATATACACGACAACGATAAATATGATAACAAGGGGGGGAATAGTCTGTGTGATATATATAGTAATTCCTGTAACAATATCAAAAAGCAAATGATGCAGAAATCATGAATAATGAAACAAGAATTATAAAGCGTCATATACAGATAATTATGAACAAAGTTCTATGAATCATGCAATGTGTCTTAAACATGTCCTTAAATTTGATGGTTTGATTGAAAGATACATAAGATTTATATAAAAAGCTAAATAGAAATACACAATAAGAATTATTGTATACCGACACTTAATTTGCTTCTAAACAAAAAAAAGTCACTTTGGAGTAGATACAAAGTAATTATAGAAATCGGCACTTCACTGGTCCTTAAGTTTGTTCTTAATACGTATTTCCAATTGTAGTATTTATCAAAATACAGATGAGCTCAAACATAGTTAGAAAGAAACAGTGAAAACAATATCAAGTCGCCCTAGATTACTTGGGTATAATATCCCTGCATGTATTTCCCCCCAATAATAAAGTATCTGTATCGTATCGAGGACTCACATAACTAAATAGGCAAATCTAGGCAATCCCTACATGTACCTAAAAAATGTCCTGTTGCCAACCAGTAAATTAAATATTTAGCTGTTAATGTTTTTACTGAATGAAATCTATATGTATTCAATTGGAAAAGAAATACAAATGGGTAAATCATCAGATTGTGTTTCCGTTCCAATTCCACAGTTTGGCTAGTAAACTTCCAGTGGTCAATAACTGACGGCTGTTAAACTTGCATATGCCAATAAATCTGCATAAAATGCATTTTCAGCCTTTGGCATGTATGCATTTATGAATGAAGACAAGTGTCACTAGTTTTGAACTTCAATATTAAAGCTATTAACTCAAAAGCTGAGCAATAAAACACAGTGAAATATTTAGTAGCGTGAGGCTAGAAAATGTTATTATTCCCGTAGTCAATTTCAATTGCAATGAACTTTGTCGTCACCAAGCTAATTTGATTCCTCTGGTAGAGGTTGGTCGGCTTGGCAGATCATCTGACTCCGCTTTGTATCGCTCCCTGCCCGGACATTCAGTCATATCTGCGTTGGACATGCATATCTTGCTCCTGAAAAGTGACAAAAACCAGCTTAATATTGTCGAGCAGTAGTAACTCGTAAATAAGTAGTTCAACTGTAAAAAAGACGCATTTCTAAAACGATGTTAACGAGCAGACGCTCGAATAGCACATCAACGGTGGAGTGCAAACGCTATTGGCGTCTGTTTGAGGAAGGGGCGGTAGTTGATATTTTATCTTTCTCCTTAAAAATTATGTATTATAATTGCATTAATTAAATAAAGAGGACTCAGCAGAAATCAAATACATACTTCTTGCTCTTCGAAATATCCCAGCACAACAGTGATGCTGTAATTGCTAAAATTAAGACGAGCACAACAGCTGTACCTCCTATAACTGCTCCCAAAGGTAAGCCATCTTCTACAATTAAAACAACAATGAAACAAGAGTATGAATTTGATAACGTATAACATAATCTTTAAATGAAAGCTGCCATGTTGAGGTATCTTTATCGCTTTGAAGTTGATTTTTGTATTGGCGCTAGCACATAAAATGACGTTTGCTACAAATATATCATTATATCAGATAATTTACGTCCATTCTTTTCAGTAATCGTAATGTTCTGGTCACTTTGTCATGTTTATATAAGCGAAAAATATTACTGTAAGCGTTTTGATGATGGGTTTAAATACGTATTTTTTTTTTACCTTTTTTTGAAGAGGGTTGAATAGTTCCAGTTCCTCTTTCGGAATCTGAAGGAATTGTCGTCAAAGTTGCTGTTGAATCACATGATTCCTGCATACCATAATTGGATCAACGTATTATTTAAATGAAGAAATAAATAGGAACAATATTCTTAAGCACTGGCGATCCAAAACAAAAACTAACAACCGCATCATTTAATTATTAGCGTTTTCTTAATGAATTCCATGAGTATGCAAGCAACACAATTTTTTCACTTTTCCCTTAGATTATCCTTTTTAAGCGGAACTAAAAACATGATTACAATGACAACGTCGTCACTGGCAATCAACTATTAATTATGCTGTTTTCATAGATAAAACTCCCAGTGGACTCCTGTCCTAAAGACACCACAGATTCGTCAAGATCCTATCTGCATTTTTGTATACAACATATTGACAGTTAGAAGAAAAAGAAATGTGATCTGGACAATTGTATTATTCTGGTACAATTTTATTGTTGCCATTTACTTTAACTTAAAATCAAGATTTGTGAACTTTCTTATATTACAATTATCACGAACATAAAATTATGTATGCTTTTATGCAGTAATTGTTCAGTTTTCGAATTGAGCCAACTTTATGATAATATACTAACCAGTTTAGTACAAGATCTGTTAGTTGCGTCACATTCGTAACAAGTTGAGTCGTAGGTAACAACGGTCGTCTCCTTGCTAAAGTTGATTCCGTCATTCGAAATACTTATTAAGTATCCTTCTCCAAAAATTTCATCAGCTGCCCGCCGTCTCCGGACAGAGTCCGGGATGATACACACACAGTTGATACCATTCAGATATCTTGCAGGAAATAGAATGGGTGCACCAAGTAATTCCCATCGGTTCATATACACCTGTTTGAACACAATTTTGTAATTTATAACTGTGAAAAGTGAGCAGAACTGTAAAACAAAAGTAAAATATAGAAGAGCATGACGTCGACACACAAGGCTCGAAAGTCATATTCGTCACGGACAAAACGCCAACAAAGTAGAAATCAAAGGCAAAGAAACCATGAAATTCCCGAACCTAGCTCCATAGGAATGATAAGCGTCTACAGTGCCAGATATGGTGTGTACAACAATGTATATGAGAGTAACAGAAATGGTATTGTAAACTGTAACATTCAATCAATAAAGTATTAAAACAATCATATTTGTTTCAATAAATATCGAGTAAATGAAACACAAATACAATGTACACAAGTGTACTTTAAAACCCTTTGCATGTATTTTCAATGCTATCGCAAAACTTTACTTTACTCTACTTTATTTTCATGCATTGAAAACCACAAGAAAATACAAATCTGTTTCTTTCTTTCATCATTTTAATGAAGTCGCATGCAGTCATATTGCTAGACGATATAGTTTCAATGAATTGAAAGTGGACATGTATACTGTTCACAATCAATAGAATAGCGTGATACTTAAAAAATCTACCTTGATCAATCTAGCTTGGCAAGTCAAATTGATATCCAGAAAGTTACTTCCAGAAATTACAAAATTTGTGCATGACTTTTTGTCAGTAGAACAAGTCATTCCTCCGTGCAATATTTCAGGAATTGTGTCACGCTCCAGAGCACACTCTTCTCCATAGAAACCAGTGTAGCATACACAATTTCCTAAAAAAATGTATTTTAGGAAAGAGCAATAATGCGCATCGCATGTTTCTTCTTTTTATCAGTGACATAGAATAACGTATGTAACAACATGAATTTGTCGAAATAAACATTAAAACATGAGTTAAGTATATAAGATAAAGACATGTCTAGCTGATAAACGGTATTAACTGTGTATCAGATTTTTTATCAGAAATAGTGGGTTTATATCTTGAATACATTTTGATTATATAAAGTTAACAAACATCAGATAATGTTACAATTGCACATGTATATGATAATATGCCATATATTAGATATTATATATATAACATAAATAACATTTTACATTTATCAAATTATGTCGCATATGAAATATTGTCGTTTATATATGATGTCACATATATCAAATATTATCGTTTATTTATGATGCTACACACATCAGATAATGTCATAGATATAAGATGTCGCATACATCAGATACAATGTAGTGGCAAATATATAAAATTGTACATACATCAGATAATGTCACATTTGTAAGAAGTCAAAGACAGCAGAAAGTGTCACAAATGTAAGATGTCAAATATATCACAGAGTGTCAAATATATACAATTTTACATACATCAGAAAATGTCACATATGTTAGATGTTTCATATATCAGATAATTTCATACATACGAGAGGCTACATAAATGAGATTTATTCTGCTGATTTCTATAACGCTAAGATTTTACATACCATTGGTACAATTTCCGTTTTCAGAACAATTGTTTGGACAACTTAACTCCAATAACTCGTCCAGAAAAGTCGCACCGTCGTCATTTTCAGATCCTTCTGTTGTAAGGTTTTCGAAACGACTGGCTTTAATAAGACAGCTACTTTTTACTGACTCTACCGTGTCTTTCAAAAACCCAGTACCGCCGGAAATCTGAATTAAGAATGAAAAAAGACAACACTGCGGTTTAGCATATTGTTGTGTCTGCTTTCTCGAACGAAACAACGTTCTGGATATTTTTGTTTGTTTGTTCCTTAGTAGTTAAACTTGTCATTCATATATATAGATAAATTTTCGTGTTTTTTTTTAATTAAAAAAATAATATTTCGAATCAGAATGAACAAAAATGAATGAATTGTTGTTGTCAGCCAAGATTAATTTAAAATACGAATGCACATACTTTGATATCATTAATGCAATTGTGCATTCCTTCGTCGATAGCATCATTCATCACTGGCAAAACTTCTTTACATTTATTCAACATCGGATCATCATTCATTGCTTCCCGGCAGGACTGGTTCGCTAGAGCTTCCGTCCAGCCATTTTGCCATGTGTGATTCTTAAACATATTGATAATCCAAATATCAAAATTAGAAAAGAATGATTAAAGTAGAAAAAGATTGGTTTCCAATTGCCAAAATGAACTTTAAAAGTTTAATGGTATGATTTCCTATACAATTTTGACGGACAATCACTAGTATATTCCTATTTATGTACAGATCATGCTATATAATCTAACAACACCAAACATAAGACGAAATGTCGGGCTTTATCAGATCTTGCTATATAATCTAACAACACCAAACATAAGATAAAATGTCGGGCTTTATCAGATCATCTGTAGTACAAAATGCGACATTTTAGTCAGAATTATGTTGCTGTTTTAAGATAATCTACATACAACAATTTAAATTCATACCCTGAACATTTCATAATTGTTAACTTATAAATATCGATTGATCGTTTTTGTAATAGAATCAAACTGAATCACACTGCGTCATACAGCTGTTTCGTTCTATAGACAGCATATGTAATAAAAAAAAGTATCTTTACGGTTGATGTCAAAACAATCAGAGAAAAAATTGTACACAGTAAATACCTCGACCACGTTTGAATAATTTTCATCAAGGATAACGTCAAATTTAGCAATATCATAGTCTTCTTCATCTGTAGATCTTCGGTATCGATTAGCATGGCCAAGAGCTTTGTCGCATACCTGAACATATCCTACTGAGCTAGTTCGTTTAGTACATGCCGTTATGGTTGAAGTTATGTTACACAGAATTTGGGAACTGAAAGTCGGCGGATTGTTGGATTCAACTGGACATTTACAGTACTGTAATGGCGGTAACGGAATGACTGTAAGTGGCTCCGATACAGCAAAGAGTGAGTTTCCATCCAAAGCAGTATTAAGCCTGAAATATAAAAATATAATTCACACGTTTCAAAACGACATTTAACATTGATATGTTCTACATAGTAATGCACCTTATACAATATTTGAATTTATATAATTTGATTACTTCATGCCCTTGTCATAGATGAACACGGTTCTTTTAGCCATGTTTCGAAAGGGTGACGCCTTCGTGAAATACGTATTTGTTTCCCCTTTGAGCAAGGACTATAACTTTTTTTATCACACCGATGTAGAACAATAAAGAGTGTTGGTGTTTAGGTTTCTGTACCGAGATAGGACAATAAAGAGTGTTGGTGTAAACTTTTCTGCAGCGTTGTTATCGTCTGTTGCAGTCTTTGGAACTAAGGTGTGATATCTTGCTCATTATTTTATAGATGTTCCTAACAAGGGAAATATGATAGGGAAAATCGAGCGCGTAAGGAGAAAGTGATGTTTATTTCCCTGTGACTAATATAATCCAATCAGACATGATGTTATATAGATTAGATATATTACAAATTAATAGCATTAATAGTGATACACTAAAAACTATTCAATGGTTATTCGTTACGTATAATTGTATATGCAAGTACCTCCAATCCTGTGCAAATCCCTCGTAATCAAATGTGGGCGTGCCATCTCTTTTTCTCATATCATTCTTCCATATTCCATCCAAAATTCCGCATAATCCGGATGATGATTTCCAGTCCACGAGAGAAGGTGTGAGGATGAAGGTACGAATAAATGGGTTACTGCCAAATATTGCTTCAATAGTAATCAAAGTTCCGGATGGAAGTGTTACCTGTGAAAATTAAAATATATTCTTAAGTAAATCGATATAGATATTTTGATTTGATTCGTCGTTTCTGCTATTTGATTTTCGGTGTGTTTGAGAGCCGCAAATGTAAATTTAGTAGATATACAAAACTTTTTAAAAATGTATAATATGATCGTTGTTTACCGAGTATTTAGAACCACTGGAGGTGACTGTCATGTGCGTGTCGTCACAGGCTCTCATCTCTATGTATCTGTTGGTATTTGATGAACCACTTATCAAGGGTGAACCAACCCTATTTCGGCACAAGTTGATAATGAAAACAGCATCCTGGTTCCTGACTGCAATGCCACATGTGCATGTCCCTCGTGTACCTGAACACAAGTCAAAGACGGCGTGTATCTGGAAGTACAATGTAAATTATACCTTCATTATTTGAATTAGGAACAAAGACGGTTTGAATGCATAAATGGTTGATTTTCAATGTGCAATACCAATCATGACAAAATATACCAAAAGAAGATTATTTAGGTACAGAATTCATGCTTAAAAGATTTAATTAAATGTTGTCTTTGTGTATGCCCACACTAATTTCCGTAGGGTCCGATATGAGAAAGTGTGAAGTTCAATATTAAGCGATTCTTACAACGAACATAAATTAAAAATCAAGAAAGATTTTTAAAGACTGCTTCCATAAACCATGAAGACCAAAGTATTTGAATTATTATAAACAGAACAACTGGCGAATTTTATCTCAATATTGATGAATCTAGAGAAAAATATCGAAATTACGCGCCATGTGAATTTTGATGAAAGCAAAGCGATGTTAAATGTACGTAAGCAAAAAGAAATAGAGAACCAGTAGTAACAAGGAAACCGCAAGACATTGCAATGCAATTTCAGGTTGCGATTGTGTTGGCGACTATAACAAAATATTGCCCACAGTTTCCTTCAAGCAACATTTTCCCAAACATTGTATTGTAAATCTGTCAGCCATCAGTCAGCATCTATTACAGCAATTGTGATATATCCGGTGTAAAATTACTAAATATTTTGGAAGAAGTTGCTATTAAGAAAAGAAATATTAACAGTCGAGAAAACAGAATCGACATGCTTATCGTACTGGTTATTAGTAAGCCGTTCATGTCAGTTATATTGTAAGTCACAATAGGAAGGTCGAGGTATCGGTCTAAAGTAGAAGAGTCTGTAACGCCCTTCATAAATCATCATTGAAAGTTTTTTTTTGTCAATAACTGACTTCTATGTACAATAAGATAAAATATGTATTATCATACAATTAGATGATTTCATTCCTGCAACTCTTTTACAGAGAAGTGTGTTTATAAATGACAATGACAATTTGATACGCTATGAAGCTGTGTTTAGTTAGATGTCAATAACACTTACCCGTATAGGTAGCGTTTCATGCTTGAACAGAATAAACTCCCCCAACTTTTGAAATGATATGTACCTGAAATTGCAATGGAAATACATAACACTTTTTATTATATTGTTATATTCAGAATTGGATTTGAAAAAGTCGATTTATATGTATAGTTAAGACAGGTTGTTTATTTCTTAAAACTATGCATACAGATCCAATGAATATTATGATTACTTCTCAGTAGTTACGAAAGTATGAAAGTTTAAAAAATATATCATTAACAGAAAACCAATCGTTTTCCATTGCATGTCATTTATATAACACTCATGTTGCAGAATTTTCATAATCGTAACTTATAGTGACGCACTATTGAAAGTGTTAAAGGAAACTGTCACATTTATAGATTATAGATAGAATTCAACGTTAAAACAAAATAGAAATCTTCCTCATAATATGTACAATGAGTTTAAGATATATGTTTTCTATGTACTTAAGTAAAACAGTACTGCCATAAAGTCCGTGATACGTTAACATCAAGTCGTTTACCAACACTGAGTATGAAATGGCATATCATACACTAATTACAAAATGATATACCATACACTAAATATTAAATGGTATACCATACACTATTTTAAAATGGTATACCTTACACTAATAATAAATATACTTTATCGTAACCTCAGTTTAAAAAATGTCCTTCCAATCAACACATGTAAACAAGATTGGTGAAAGCAGAGTTCTGCGTAGGAAACATTCTTATCGTTGGCGAGGTAAGATGTGAGGAATGGGGGAGAGGGGGTGATGAGAGTTGAGTCCAGGACCCCTCAACCATGGCGGCCCTCACCAAATAAAAACATATGCCCAGGGGCCGATCTATTTGGAAAAGTTGTATCCATATATAACTGTCTAGTGTTTAAATAAAATACCTTAAACTAAAGCACTATCTTTAGTATAGTACTGCATATCGTGGCCTGGGTATAACATTGTGATATTAGTTGGTATTATAATATTTCCTTTTCAGGCATTGCATGACCGATGAATGGCGAAGAAAACTCATTTTCGTAACCCATCGTAACATAATAATACATTTATGCATAAAACTATCTCAGTATTGAATTTTCATAAAATACTGCAAATTTTAACCTGATACTTTAATAGATATTCTCATAATTTAATCAGGGAATTCTTCAAATTTAAAAAAACACCGATTTAAAAAATCAGTTTAATTTTTTGCATTTCGATGGAATTTGGGACCAAATAATCTCAAATCCATACATAATTATCAATTGAAATATAACAAAATGTGATTCCGAAGTTTATACTACAATCCACAGGGCAGTTTAGGATATTCACGTCTAAAATTCTATCTGCGTATATCCTTTGATTTGAATAAATGTTATTCCAATATCTATCATTAAAATGTTGAGGTACAGGACTAGTTTTTTTTTTTGTAGTTCATGTATCTAATTGCTTGTTGGTTTGTTTCAGTTTAACGGCCCATCGACAATTTTGGTCATTTAGGGCAACCATTCCAGGAATCAAAACTAAAATTATAGGGAAACATCGCATATCTCATACAATCAGCACCTGGATAGGTTTAGAAAGTTAAAATAGTGCCACGGGGGTAACATATAAAAACTTTAGATGAAGATATCGTGAAGAGTTTGAATAATAAAGAGATATGAGTAAATGCTGTAATAAGAGTCATGTAGGTTAACGGAATCACGGTTTTTAGAACAGATCAATGTTTTTTTATATAGCTAAATGATGCCAAGGATAATGTTTACGAAGGTGAATAGGGTCTTGATGTCCGTGACATTGAAGTATTTATCACGAATGCATCTAAAATCTGAACATTCTATTAAAGCATCAGTTAGATAAGTATGACCAGTACGGCGCGACGAGAAGACATACTCCTCTTTGCAGTTTCCCCGACTAGGCAGAACATCGTTGCTGTCATTCACTTTGATTGACCGATCGTATAATGGGTTTTAATATGTTTGTGATATTGACTTGCTGGGAGGTATTTGTATTTTTAGCTGCTATGTTAAAATTTCTCTTACCATTTACTCCGACATGGCTCGGAATCCATTGAAGAATTTCTTTGCATTTCGTTAAGATACAAAATGGACAGGGTTGTATAAAAGTGATTTTGAATTTCGTAAATGCAGAATTTCAATGACCGATAGCGAGTCAGAACAGAGGATTGCCTTTTAAAACGCGTTGTTCATCGATAACGTCAAGGGCCAAACCGATGGCAGACGCTTTCGCAGAGAAAATAGATGCACCGTCTGGTAAAACCATCAGTGTAAAGCTGTGTATTAGCAAGAAACATCAAAATTCACTCCTGAAAAGAGGATTCGTGTTCTTCGGGCAGTGCCCACGATTTTGCCCGGTCATGCAATGCAAACTAACATCTGTTTTTTGTATAGTGCATGGTGTAATATCCGGTATGGTATGACGAGTTTTTGATTTTGCGCGAATATGTTCAGAAAATTAGGATTTGAGACTGACTAAAAGGCAGGATATTTGACTGGAGTTTGGCAGCAAATTGTAAAGCTAGTTTTCACCTTCGGTCGTAAAGTGATGGTTCATTCGCTCACACCTTTTGGCTTTTCAGTGGTGATGTTCGAAAAGAGCAAACGTGCCAGACACAGTTTTGGTTATGGATTGGATTCAACATCTGCAGATAAGAACTGTTGACCGTCTAAGACTGATGAACCAAAATCGAGTTTTATCGGACAACTGATCAATAAAGTCGCATAAGCTTTTACGATCTCCATCAGCATCAGTGTATGAGAGGACTAGCAGAATTTTTTGCGCCTTTGAACTCTTATCATTCAGATGCTTTATATGTGAAATACAGGAGAGTTTCGAATCAAATGTTAGTCCAAAGAGTTTGCTCATCGACTGAGATTCTTATGCCATTAGGTGCAGGATTTGGGCCACTTTGTGGTTTTCCATATTTTCCATACACACAGTTTTAGAATATTTTATACATAACCTCATTTGATTTTACAGAGTGGATAAAATGATAAAATGATGAATGTCCGATTCTATTTGACATTTATTTTTGGCAAAGTACAGTTTTAATCATACCAATCATACCTACATTTTTGTTTTTACTGGTAAGTATATTGATAAATATCGTGTTAAATATCTAAGAATGTGTACCATCTATCCAGGGTCCATAAATGAGGATCAGTCCAGACCTCGCATGATTTCGATGCTATGAGAATATCCCGGTCTTCAACGACAACCTTAAACGAAATATATTGTTCAATAAATATCGCAACTCCATTTATATGAAGAATATAGAAAAGTATCCTATTTGTGCTACTTTTCTGCTTATAATTTATCGAAAACCCTGCCATTTTACAAAATTCATAATACGGTACATTAATGTCTTAAGTAGAATGTTTCCTGTTCTTAAAATTCCTAAAATAAAACAAGCTAATAAACTAGTGTTCCGCTTTTTCATTTGCAAACTATCTTAGGAGATTATGAAACATATCAATAGGAAATTGTTTATGAGTGTTCGTACAGCCAGCGACTGATCAGATTCAAGCATTTATTATGGAATTCCATAGCAGCTGAAAGGTAGACGCATTACATTTTGTAGTTAATACATTACGTCAAATTATGAATTACGGGGAGGCACGAACAATTATTTAATTAAATGAAACTCAATTAAAAGGAATATCAGTTTATTTCAAATAAATATAAGTAGAGAATGTATTAAAACAATACAGTTTGGTTTAGAATCGATCGATGGGAGTAACTAAATAGAGAAAGTTGTCATAAAAAACCCGTTTATATTACATAATATTTTTAATTAATTTTATTTTGAAGAGTGTTCTCCCAGCAGTTGTGTTTCTGTTATAAGATAGAGATCGTTGTTGTATTACGAAGTATTTCTTATACCATATTTAGTTCAACAATAGAAATAAAATATCGTGCTATGTTACTGAAACGACTGGAACATAAATGTCAATCGGATAAAAAAACAATCCAAAACTTTTAATATTACATCATTATAAAGTGAAAAAGAAATCGATATATTCTTAGCACACTTTCGAAAATGTAATCTTCAATGCCCTAGTTAATCATGTCTTATGAAATATAAAATGTTTCCCATATAGAAACTAAACATTTAACGACTTGCTTTTATTTATAAATGAAGCAAACTTAACATATAGCCATAGCTACCTGGATGTCTGGCTTAGTTGCAAAGCTCCATGCTGTGTTGCTGACGCCGAGGTCTGCACTAAAACGGATATTTATTGTTCTGCTGTCCATTTTGCTGACGGTATTATCAGCTGATCCAAATACTTGTAAGGTTCTGGGTATATTCCAGTCATTAAAGGGAAACACTATCCCGCAGCCTGCATTCGTAAAGGTCACAGACTCGTCTGTTACTCCACTTACTGTACACCTGAGGTGACCATCTTCATAATAAGTTGGCGCTCTTACACGAATCGAAAGAGTACAATCATCTTTCACGGCCTTTGCAATTCTGGAAAAAATGTTATTTTATTATGTTTGGTCATTGCAAGAACCTATTTTAAAAATAAACTTTCCTCTTATTCCAATCGTATATATAAATAGCAACAACTTATTTAACTGAAGGAAATAAACAGACGGTGATAAAGGATAGGCATATAAGGAATCATTGCACAACATTCTGCTTAAAGGTAGTAATTGTTTTGCAAACATTTCCCAATTTGGTCTCCCTCTCTCTGGTCCCAAGGATATTTCATAATAGGAATTCTGAATGAGATTCTTGTGTTTGGATATATAGTTATAGGGTTAGGATCTCAATCATTTCCATATAATGATTAAAATCTATGCCTCAAGTGGCAGGGGCAGAGCGACGTTCCAGTTCTTATCTATGTAACATACTTACGTAACTTTCTTCATGCCGAACACGCATACTTATATATTGCTTTTTGAAGGGGATAGCAACCGCGTCCAAGTTATAACCCAAGTACTTAAATTACTTAATAGCACTCTATCGATGTCATGAGCCTCGGCCCTAAGGAACAAAAGGAGGGATATGTCATGTTTACCCATTATTCACTTTGCCCAATGCCAGAAGTTAACCTTTGAAAAGAACACAATATACCAGACAAAGATTTACACTGCTGGTCTACATAATATATACAAGTATCATCGATCTAAACCTTCTGGATCTTTAGCAACAGTTTTTGTTGTGTTTTTTAATATATTTGAAACCTGTGACCTTGAAAGTAAGTAAATGTTAATATACCAGAATTATTTTAAGCACTCCATCCAAAGTGTCTACAAGCTAAATATCAGAACGCTGTGTCTAGATTTAAGGAGGAAATTGTTCAAATAAGAAAGTGAACCACAAACACAAAATTTCAGATTTGTTTGTGTAACTAAGTTAAACGTCTTCAACAGTTGAGTGGAAATGACAGATGTTGTAATGGGACAGAAGATCAGTTTTTTGTTCTAATACTTTCAAACTATAGAGGTTGATGAAGACATGGAGAAGTTTGATTCATTTGGATTTAAAAATAGCTAAAAATTGCCCTTGCTGGCAAACTTTGATGTTTAACATTTCTTTCATTAATAAAAAAAAACTTTGATCATGTATCTATTACAAATGAATCATATATACACTATATCGATATCGGGTATGGAAATGATAAATTCCTTTACACATGATAGTTAATGTAAGTAGTTCTGCGTACTAAGCATCAACGATCAATGATGATCATATATAAGTTATTGGAAAAGAATTTGCCTACGTTATACCACACCATGATTATACGAAGCGATTAGCGTTATCTCCTTCTACTAGAGTTTTGCATTGTCAGATGCTGATGCCCCCGTTGTACTTTGGGGTGTCGTTAGATCTCTTACACCGTTGGTTGTTATGTAGAGAGGAATGATTATTCTGTGCCATGTCGTTTATATACTACAATAAAATGGATTTTTAGTGAATCCCTTTATAAATCAACATAGCCAATATAATGAGATGTAAAAGAAAACAACAACAAAATTAAAAGAACAAAAAGGTCAAAGCGATACGTACTCAGCAGGAGTAGATGCTGCTAGATACATACAGTCGATTGGAATTGTCAGTCTGACCGTCACGTTAATACTGCCACTTTCCAAAACGGTATACTGGGAAGCGTCAGTCTGAAAAATATAATAAATGAAGGTACATGTTAAATTACGGCAGATGCTTTCTTATACTTAGACATTACATATAAACGGAAAATTTGTTAGCTAATGGAAAAGATTAAAATAATTATCTAACACTTTGGTGATCTTCTTTTCATATCAATACAAATTTTGAACAAAATGTGAACACAAACATCGAACGAATAATTCAAATTATTAAGGGAAACTTACAGTAAAGCCTGCATAAAAATCACTGCTGTAGCTGTACGGGGCCGGCGGACCATCAGACACAACCCGGACACGTACTGCGCACTTCACCTGTGAACATGTTTTTTTTTTTTTACTTAGAGTAGGCTCTTCATTTTTGTTGTCTAATTATTATAATAAGCCCCTGCAATTCATTAGTCTACTTTTTTTGTTAGTATGTGAGTAGTTAGAATGCATGTGGTTGTTAAATTTATTGTTATTTTTTTCTGCTCTATATCGTATATATGGTGCTTGGCACCGAGCCATTTCATCATTGTATTTTTTTTCTCTCTTTTTTTTAATGTTTTTACACTTTTTTTTTAAATTGTTCATTATCGGTATTTTATCTTTTTAAAGTCATATTATTTAATTTATAACAAGTATCCACGCTCAACTCGTATACATCATTCTTATTCGATGTTATACCATTAACATCACATCCTTACTCTCTGTCTGGACATATTCTTGCATTCCCTTTTTACACTCACTTTGTCAAATATGCTGGTAGTGATGCTACTATTGTTAGTTATTTTAACTGTATACAATTAAACCTGTAATTTACAATAGATGAGAAAACAAATAATAAATGAAAACATAGTCTAATTAGATAAATCGTGTTCTGGTCAAGATACGGTAGGACGTTTCTAATTTCCTGCTCGAACGTGCATGGCACCATCCGAGTATTTTTGTTCGAGACCCCGCGGTATATCAGTCATGAAGCATGCTTACGGACCCCGGTCAAGTAACCGTGTCCGATGGATCCCTTATTTATTACGGTGCCACCTTAAGATTTTCTTGTGAAGTAAAGTATTTACAGTTTGAGGTAAGTACATTTTAATTCGTTTGATTTGTATTCTCCATTAATACCAAAAAATGTTAAATTATTCAAATACAATTATGAATGTAAACAATGAAAGAGACATAGTCTCAGTGAGTATGCTTTATGAAGTTGTTAATAATATTGAAAATATATATGCATGTAACACGATGTATTTCCATACAGGAAATAGTAATAGTATTTTAAGTCCGAGTGTAAAGAATGGAAAAATAACAGTACAAAACTTTTCACTCTCTGGCTTTGGGGAATAAGTGTCGACTATTTGAGTAAGTGTGATAGGAAGGATAGAACTGTTTACACAAGTATGTTAATTTATGCACATGTGCATGAACATATTGTACAAAACATAAAGAATATGCTATTTGTATTACTCTGTATACATGCATCTGAAATTAAATAGTGCTTTGAAAATAGTAACCATTTGAACTACTTCACGAACAAGGCGCCACAGTATATCTCATAGTAGGCTGTATCATGCATAAGTATGTATTTAATAACTATATTATAATTATGTATGGGAATGAAATGAATTGTTACATGGAAATTAGTAAATTCCTAAGTAACATGTATTTATGGATGAATATATGAGTATTCTACTCATCTATGCATATGAAACGAGTTTTAGTAGTGAAAACAGCCACTACTTTATAAAGTTGTTATATGAAGGTACGAGCATGGAAATACTAGTAAATATTATATGTATAGCTACACTTGAAATCAATTTCTATACTCGGATTAATCATTACCTATGTGTGAATGTAAACAGAGGAAGGAAAGGAGAAAAAAATGTTTTTATATATTGTATATGTGATCATTTTATTTCAAATACCATGTTAAGGCTAAAAATGTACCATAGGGTGCAAGTATTGTTTAAGATTTGTATATGTGGTAAAATGAATTTTCACAAAACCAATCAATTAATGTACTGGGGTGGGTGGAGGGATATAGATTAATGTATCCCAATTGATAAATTAATTTATATATCAAACTTCCATGAAAAAATACAGTTTTGCTAGTTTAAATGTTTATGGCTTACGAGATGATAAAAAGAGGAATAGAATATTTAATTGGGTCAAAAATCAAAATTATGATACTGTATGTTTACAGGAGACACATTGCACAGATTTTGATTCAAAACAATAGAATAACAACTTGAAAGATGTTGGAGGGGGAAACAGTTTATGGAACAATGGTAAGACCGATTCTAAGGAAGTTGGTACACTTTTTAACAATAGCTCTGACTTCAAAATTTCTGAATATTACAGAGACCAGTGTGGAAGAGTGAGGGCATGTTAAGTCCATTGTGAACAAAAACAGTATGATCTTACAAATATAAACTGTCCCAATCAAGGAAGGGAAAGAAAGGATTTTTTAACATATTTACATAAATATTTTTGTAATGATTCGTCGGTAAAAAATCATAATGGGTGATTTTAACTCTGTAGTGGATAAAACAAAAGACAGATAACTTTTACAACCATCCGCGGATGTCGGAAATACACAACTGGTCAACCTCATGATACACCACAACTTATCCGACATATTGCGAAAAAATCCGGATTCATTAAAATATACTTTTAAACGTGGCAGTTCCAAATAAAGAATTGATTTGATCTTAACAGAAAATAATTTAAACTCCCAAATAATTAATGCTAACATAAAATACTGCCCTTATAGTGATCTTGATTAAAACACTATCAAACTATCTTTGATGGATCTAGAACGAGGACCGTGAACATTGGAAATTAATTATAAAGTAATAGCAAGTGATATTTTTAAAAATGCATTTAAGACATGTTTGTCAGTGTGGAAAAATTAAATAAATATGTATAATTGTATAAATGAATGATGGGAAATTACTAAACTAAAATAAAACAAAAGTATGGAAATAGGAAAAAAATACATATATCAAAGATAGAAATTAAACATGCGGGAGACGAGCTAGAGACATTAGAACATAATCAAAGCCATCAAAATAATACTGATAAAATTGAACAATTGAAATATAAAATAAAAAGATACTACACTAATCAAACAGATGCTGCTAGAGTACGGAGCAGAATATAAATATATGATGAAAATGAAAAAGTCAACCAAATACTTCTTAAACCTTAACAAGAAAAATGCTGAAACTAAACAGTGGTATAAGATAAAAGGACGTGATGGTAAATACAAAACTGGGGTAGATAACATTTTAGAAGAACAGACATCTTTTTATAATATGCTTTTAAATCAGAAGAGTGGGATGAACAAAATGCAGAATTTTTAACACAATTTATAGAAAATAAACAAATCTAATGAAGAAAGCAGGAACATGGATAGATCGATAGAAAATAAAGAAATTAGCGACGCTGTCAAGTCTTTAAAGAGTAACAAGTTATCTGGTGAGGACGGAATTATAAGTGAATGTTACCAAACATATTTAATCAAAACTGAGATCATACAATAACTCATGGAAATATTTACTGAAACCAAACTTTCGAAGAGTCAAACTAAGGGAATAATAAGATTACTTAAAAAAAACGGAGAAAGACAAGAAATTAAAAAACTGGCGACCAATTACTTTACTCAATGTAGATTATAAGATAGTTGCACATATTTTGGCTAATCGACTGAAAACAAATTTAAACAAATTTATACATCCTGACCAGAAAGGCTTTATACCAGGTAGAAAGAGTATGGATGCTAATAGAATGTTAAAGGTTTTAATAGACTTTAGTGACAGGGAAGAACGAGATGGTTCAATTATATTTCTGGACCAACAAAAGGATAGAACGGGGTTGGGTATTAAAATGTTTTAAATAATTAAATTTTGGTATTAATTTTGTACTTGGATTGAGATGCTTTTAAAAAGTTCAAAAACATGTATCCAAACTAATGGTTTTACATCTAAATATTTCAACATCTCAAGATCAACTCGTCAGGGATGCCCGATCGCCTCACATTTATACATTATTCAAGCAGAACCACTTGCATGTTCTTTCAGAGCAAACCCAGAAATAGCAGGCATCAGAGTACCAGGTAATGATAAGGAAATAAAATTAAGTATGTTTGTAGATGATACTCAGCTAGTCAATCAAACAGAAATTTTTAGTCGAGAAGCATTTAAACTATCAAAATCGTTTGAAAAAGCACCAGGTGCCAAGATTAATTATGAACAGACTGAAGGTTTGTATATAGGATTATTGCGGGGAAAAAAAAGAAAAAAAGACCCAACATTTAATATCATAAAATGGACACAAAAAAAATGTGAACACTCTAGGAATTCATCATGGATATATGATAGATAATGACAAAATTTGGCATGAAAACATAAACGAAATAAAAAAAACTGTCTGCAAATTTGGAAAACCAGAAACATAACATTTAGCTTGAAAACTTTAATCATTAAATCACTAATATTATCTATAATAGGAGCGAAGGGCATACCATGTAAATATCTAAAAGAAATTAACAAGATAATTTAGGTTTACATCTGGGATGGGAGAGTAAATTAACTGGAAAGAAAAATGTGTTATAGTAAAATAGAAAGGAGGTATTGGAATGGTAGATCTTGAAACACATGTACATAAATAAATTAAAACTATATAGAAGATAATCGACTATAAATATGAGAACTGAAACTCTATAGATAGATACTATCTTACTAAATTAGATATCAAGTATATGTCAAAAACGTTTCTGTGCACTTGTTCGGACCTACAAGGCCTTGATATGAACAAAATACTACCAACTTTTTATGAAGATAGCTTGAAAGCATGGGCAAAACTTAAAGGAGTCAACGCGCCTCTTGACAATAAAGACATTTTAAACCAACGTTTATCTGGGACACCTACATACTGTTTCGGAACAAAGCCTTATTTATACAGTCCTTCTCATTAATTGGTATCACAAAAATAGCAGATATTTGGGATGATGAAATGAAGGATTTTAAAGGGAATGATATTATATTTACAAAACTTATCAATAAATAAAATTGGATAACAGAAATCTCAAAAATTAGGAAAGCTATACCTCTCAATTTTCTCAAAGTATTAAAAGATCATACTAAAAATAATTAAATAGATAATCTTAAGTCAGAAGTCCTTTTCATAAATAATAAATTTGAAACAATTTTGCCATTATGTAAGGGAACAAAAATTATGAAAAATAACATTTAATTGGGAGAAATTATGGGGAAATAATAAATGTAAACTGATTGCAACAGAAACAACAATAAGGGAACTCCACTGGAAATGTGTGCACAAAATAATTTATACGGAATATAAACTCCATGTTATGAACCGATCCGACGGTATATGTCATATGTGTAATATTGAATTAGAAACATTTAGCCACCTATTTTTTCATTGTAACGTTGTTACTCAAATGGTACAACTCACACAGAATAATGTTATAAATAAAATACAGGGACTATTGATAACATTGAACAAACAAAATAATATTGTTAGGAGAATGTTCAGATACAAACACAGCACTAACAAACACTGTTGTCTATACAATGAAATGGGTTATCTGGAAGAAAAGAAATATAATCAAATATCAAAACAAGAGACAGACACCACTATCTACTTTTAAAATGTTTAAGCATGTGTTATTAGAAAATATAAAAGTATTTACAAAATCAAACTCAATAATAGATACAAAATCTACAATTATACCAATTCAGAACTACAAAGTATTGCAAGGTATGTTAACTAGCACATATACACATTAAAGCCTGATAATTTTTTGGGAGATTGAGGGGGGAGGGTTCGGAAAGGAAAATGTTTTTTAATAGATTATACTCTGACTATACTCTAGACACACCACTATAACGCTAACATGACACTTTAATTCGCTGAATTGGATGATGTTATACCATACGAAGCATTACATATACTAATATTTACCATATAATAACGTTTGTGCGAACTCTGTTCACCATCGTGACTCTAACCGGAAATCAGAACTAGATTGTAATACAATAATAATTAAAATAGAGTACGGACAAGAATATCCGGAAGTTTATTTTTTATATCAAAAATGTGAATGTATACTTATTTGTTAATATATATATGTATGACGAATACTGATACCCGATCGAATATTTTGAACAGGATGTACATTATTTAAAAGCGATTCCAGACGCACATGAACATTGTATGTATATGTCATAAAAGTTTGGAAAATATAATAAAGAATAAAATAAAAAAGTCATATTGGCCTGGTTCGTGTAGGCCTTAACCTATTGGGTTGGGGCAATCGATCATCATATATCAGATGGGTACATGAATATTTCATTGCAAACAAAAGAAGCAAAAGCTGCCCTCATTTTCCTGACAGAAAATTTGAACCTGTGTATAAAAAATTGTCTTTTCATTACGAAAAAAGCGTTGAAAACAAAATTCTCAATGAAAGCATCTAAGATATATTAAACTATCTTCTTTTATGATAACCATGTTAAGTTCATACTAGTATAGTGATCTAAATAACAACAGGTGGAGTAAGTTTCAAACTTCAATTTGAATAACACATATTGTTAATATTGGACCTGATGAGTATTGACAAACCCATTAAAATACCTTTCAATTTGATAAATGATATGAATATAATTAAAAATGTAAACTCCTTTACCAGAAATCCGAGCGTGAATGTATTAATCCATTGCGACTGCCTTAACGCCGATTCTGTTATGTTGGCGTACGGTATGTTCCCGTGTGTCACAATGCTGTTGTCGTTAATATACCACTGTACATCATAGACGTAGGCAGTAAGATCTACGTCACTGTTATTCTCAATGTTACACTGGAATTGTATCTCCTTAACTATCACAGGTTTTCCAAACACTTCTCTAGAAGCCGTTTTTAGTCCCGGGGTCACTACCGCATTCAGCGTCACATTTGTACCCACTTTGATAATAAAACGTCAATTCGGTGAATGTATTTGATAAATAAAACATTTGAAAAAGGATCTACTTTGTATACTATATTAATATAATGATACAAATATTTGGTCAGTTACATTTAACAAACTAAAAGTAAATACCAAACATACAAATGCTAGCATGAGGGCTGTACGTGCAATGTACATTGTTTTCTTAGAAACAAACATGAAGTTCCTTTGCATGAATGACAAACGGCTTCAATTGAAAAACAGGAAAGGATAGAGGCAGAACCAGGTAAAATAGCAAACATATTATACCACGTATAGAGCCAACAAACAACAACATAATGGCCGAAACGTAGGAAATACAAAATAACATCCGAAACTAAGGATGCACAACAATATAACATTCGGAACTGAGGGGACACAAACACGTCACATCTGTAACTAAGGAGTCACACCAACATCACATCTGTAACTAAGGAGACACAACATCACATCTGTAACTAAGGAGTCACACCAACAGCACATCTGTAACCAAGGAGACACAACACTACATCCGGAACTAAGGAGAACTAATTATTTATCATGTTGAATTTAGGAGACATAACAACATAACAAATGGAACTAAAGAGACACAACAACATAACATCCAGAACAGATCCGACACAACATGATAACATCGGGAACTAAGGAAACACACCAACATATCATCCGGAACTACTGACACACAAATACATAACAGCAGGGCCAACTTGTATAAAACATCTCAACTCTTGAGATTTCCTCAAGTCTAAGATTTCCCATAGACAATACATTGCTTGAGATTTTTCAAACTTAGAGATGTTTTATACAAGTGGGTCCAGGCACTGAGGACACACAAACACATAGCATCAGGCACTGATGAGACACATCAACATAAAATCCAGAAATGAGGAGAAGAAACAATATCATATCCTTAACTGAGGAGACACAGCAGCATAACATTCGAAAACGAGGACTCAAAACAACATAGGTTCTAGAACTAAAAAGACACAACAACATAACACACGTCACTGAGGAGAAACAACTAAAAGGTATCCGGAGCTAAGGAGACACAACATCATAACATCCGGAACTGAGAGGAAACAAAAACACAACATCCGGAACTGACATCGCACAACTAGGAAACTAGGAAACACACCAAAATATCATCCGGAACAAATCAGACACAACATGCCAACATCTGGAACTAAGGAGATACAACATGATAACATCTTGAACTAAGGAGACACAACATGATAACATCTGGAACTAAGGAGACGCGCCAACATATCATCCGAAACTACTGACACACAAACACATAGCATCAGGCACTGATGACACACAAGCACATAGCATCAGGCACTGAGGACACACAAGCACATAGGATCAGGCACTGAGGACACATCAACATAACATCCAGAAATGAGGAGAAGAAACAATATCACATCCTTAACTGAGGAGACACAGCAGCATAACATTCGAAAACGAGGACTCACAACAGCAAAGGTTCTAGAACTAAAAAGACACAACAACATAACATACGTCACTGAGGAGAAACAACTAAAAGGTATCCGGAGCTAAGGAGACACAACATCATAACATCCGGAACTGAGAGGAAACAAAAACATAACATCCGGAACTGACATTGCACAACAATGAAACTTCTGAAACTAAGGAGAAACAAAAACTGTTACTACAGTTTACACGGCAGAAGGAATAACAAATCTCGGTCCTTATGTTTAACCGACTTTCACAACAGAAATAAATGACAAGAAAGACGTGAACAGAGGTCACCATTATTATGCAACGTTTTAAACTTCATGTTGTTACCATTTGTATGTTTATTCCAGATTAAATTTCACATACGTGAGATTTCGAGCAATACATTATTATCATTACTGTTGTACTATAAACGTTGTCATGTCTACAGTAAATCTGACAGAAGTCATTGACTTTAATTAGTCTAATTAAAGTTAACGACACCTTTATTTCTCTCCTTGATTAATATATGCTGCTTTAACAGTATTTACCTCCTTATTGACAACTACTGGAATTAAATAGTCAATGTAATTTAACCTACCTCCACATCCAGGAGTGAAGCCAGTGTCAGATGTTTGCCCGACAGGACACGGTAATTCAGACCCTAAAAATATCAAACATCCTTGGTAGTAAAATATCATTGGTACATGTTTTACCTTTTATAGTTATCACAAACAGCAAACCGAATAACCTTTCTTCAATATGATACATTGTACATGTTTAGCAGAACCTCAGCATTATTGTTTTTAATATGGACATGGTGTTGAATATCACTTTGCTATTTAGAACATTACATCAATCATGTCAGGAGTACGTTGAAATGTACTAAAACCACTAGCACAAGAACTTCAATACAGCTATCTGCATACTATTAATATATATAATTTCAAAATAATTTGGTATTTTCTCTCTTCTTTTTATTTATTAAATATTGCAACTTGTTTCAAACGGCATAAGTAATCCGAGACATTATTAATTTATATGTGTGATGTATATGTGAAAAGGTTTTGACGTTTGCCTTTTCTAATAATGGTTTGTTAATTTGCTTGGTGAATTTTTGATGATATTTCTACACGCTTTTGCTAGCCATTGTTATGCACATAAAGATAATTATGAAGTTATATAAAAAAACATGATAATCAATTATAAAAAGAAGCAGGAGAGTTTACGTACCGAAACAATACGCAGCTGCACAAAGACTTGTTTGTGTTAGTTCATAGACATAAAATGAACTACACTTCTTCACCCGTATGCTCCATGTATGTTTGCAGGCTGAATACAGGCTTCGCATACATACATTTACACTTGTTATGTCTGAGGTGTCTGGTAAAACTGTAAAAGAAGAAATATTACCTTTTTATTTCAAGATAAAAAGCACTTCCCTGATAGTTTCCTATAGTCTTTTTACCGAAAAGTGAAAAGGATAATTGAAAAATGCGTTGAAAAACAACAAAATACTAAGAAAAAAGCAAATATGACATCATAAGAGAATGAGGAGACATCACATCGGCAGGACAGACATTTTCGTGCAAAGCACATTGCAGGAGAGAATGAACATTTTGGGACCCAAGTTAGATCACAAACGCATGAAACACATTAGATGAATCTTCATAGACATAGGCATACCCGGTCTAATACACCAGAAAGCTGACATTGAAGTAACAACTAGGTAAATAATGTATGAAGAATATTACTTTGTGTGAGGGATATTACTTTGTATGAGGGATATAACTTTATTTTAGTTTAAACTTTCCTATCAATAAACACAATGATATCTTAAACCTATAGGTAGAAACACAAAGAGTGTGACAATTGCTGAAGTTTTGGTTAAGATATAGCTGTCAGCTAACCAACTTGTAGATAGGATAATGTACACGAGAACTTTTTAGCAGTAGAAAAGATACCTTTGTGATCTCCCCACTGTTCATTAATACAAAAAAAGATGACATGTTGTTCGGGGAGGGAGTACACCTACCGTCATCCATCCATATCGGAAACCTAGTACCACATTTGTTCAGGGCCGGTGCGTCCGTCGGCATGGAAACACCAGCACCGGAAACGGGGCGGTACCATCTCTCCGTCAAGGTTATATCACACCCGACATCAGATTCATCATATTCAGACGAGCGCCATGAGTCATCAAGAAGGTGGTAGGTTGTCGGAAGACAGGGGTCTGTATAGAATACAAATCAATCATATTAATTAAGAGAACAAAAATGTTTTGTATAACTGTAACATTGAGACACATATCATACTTATAGTTGGGTGGATTGCGTATCAAAATCATCAAATTCCCTTGACATTATCACATAACCAAGGGCTTCCATTACATCTACAGAGAAAGCTACTCACTGCCTAATGGTTGAATAATACTAAAAAGAGGTAGAAGTTTGTTGATGATGTTTCTATATCCTATATATAACGGCTGTCGAGTTCACAAATTAATGATGTACCTGTATCGGTGAGTGGGTGTTCCGTAAACAGGATGATTACCCGAATATATACCAGGTGTCAGTACCTTGTATTCTTACATAAGATATTAAGGTAATGTAATAGCATCACCCAAATAGACCACAGTTTCTGAAACAAGTATCATCGACGAACAAGTGTATATTTAAAAATAGTGCTGCTTTTATTTTGTAAGCGAATGATGGTGAGTAACGCCCGCCCTTATATCATGAAATCTGTTTTTAAATTTGAAATGTCACCGTTTTACTTTATTGTATATTTATATACTGTTGAAAAAAGAAGACTCATGTAACTAATGATGTAAATGTCTGACGCTCTAACATGATGGGCACCCAATGACTTCTCTAGTTTCTATGAGGCCCTGTTAGTAATGCTTTTGTAATGATCGAACAGTATGTTGATTTCAATGTAAGTACTGTATAAACATTTATCATATACATACCGTGCTATGCAGTGTCATAAAGCCATCACATGAATTAAGTTTATGTAACGTGTGCAATATCACTCCGGAAATGACGTCACAATCGAATAGGAACAATCAATGTGACGTCACGTCATTGTGAAGCGGACGCAATTTTCATCGTTTCAGGTGCAGCCAAGTGCAAAATATTTGTTCATATCACAATTATACAGTTTACTTTGTATCATATGATAAAAAGAATCTGTCATTCGTTTCCCTTCATATTAGATATATGATACTCGTTTTGGATTTTTTATATTTTCTAGCCAGAGGCTCGTTAACACAAAAAATCCAATCCTTGTATCATAAATCGATTATAAAGGGAAAATTATGACAGATCCTCTATATATGATATGTATGTATATTTATAATATCACCTTTAGGATAAAGAGATAATTTATTATCGCAAAAAATACCAGGTCAAAAAAAACAACTATATCCCAAAAAATATATATATGTGATCAAAAGAATCTGTCATTCGTTTCCCTTCATATAAGATTGATGATACTCGTTTTGGATTTTTCACATTGAAAATGATAAACAGTGTTTCTACAGGGCACATTACATATGTGAAGCCATGTCATCTGTTTGCGATTTGAAGTACATTTTGTCATAAAAAAAAATTGAAAATACATGTACAAATGTAAGTATCATGCGGTTTGAAAAGTGGTTAATGTTTCATAATACTTGTTAACATTTTGACTAACAAAGATCAGACATAGTTGTTGACGTTTATTTAAAATCTGTTTGAAGTACGCTCGGTTCGGAATTTGGCATATATTTTTGACCTTGTGGTATATGAACGTTCAACTTTTCTATTATTGTTTTGATAGGAAGCTAAAATGGAAGTTAAATACCATTTAAGCGAGTGTTTGGTGAGCTACACCTAATTTCTTCTTTACTGAAACCAAACTTAACTATATCCATGATGCGACTCAAGTTGATCACCACCATTAAAACACAATATACCTTAGCAAGGAGACGTAAGCAGCAAGCAGGAATACATTTAGTTACAACAAGAGATCAAAGGCGTAAAATATATATATATATAATATGCAATTTTCTTTTTACTTGTATGATTTAATCACCACCACAGTACACCGCAATATCTCTAACGCGATTCATGGTATATGTTCAGAAAGCCAATTTTGTTATGACCTCATGAATGTTGAAAAAAATAATTTCATTCCTTTTATTTACATTTTTAAGTGCTTTGATTTTTTCTGATGAAAGTATAAATACCAATAATACCGGCATTTGTTTCTATTTATTTATGTAGTAACGAACAGCAATAAAAACAAATGCCGGAATTATTTTTATTTATGCTTTCATTGTGTTTTTTCGGGAAAATACAAAACTTTTGCTGGGGGTCCTAGCAACATGACAACAAAACAAACAGAATATATTTCCTATTTCAAAACTTAATTTGTAGAATGTACACAAGTCGGATATTATTGTCATGCACCTTACACACCTCATTTGAGCTATTCCGTCTTTGCGTATTGCAGATTTATCTTCTCTTGGGAGCAGGTATTGATTGTTACGTCACTTGTTTGTGAGAGAAACGTCATCAATTTTTGAGAACACGACATAATTTTCTCACACAGACCAATGACGTAACAATCAATACCTGCTCCCAAGAGTAAAAAGTACCAATACGCAGTGATGAGGTCACCTGTATTATGAAAATATAAATGTAATTTTCGCCAATGGGTCCAAGCATACAGAATGTAAATACAATTTAGTAGTTTACGTGTTTTCTTAGTCAGTGATCACATACGTCCTTAACAAACCTTAGTTACTAATATGACGTTAAACCCTATACAACCAATTAACCAACAAAACCAAGCTCAGGATTATAATAGCTATCTTGTACCGGAGTGCTCCGGTTAAACATTGAATTTAACTGTAGAACTTTAACCAGGCCCTACAGCATAGTCATCATTCAGTCTATAACGGTTATACAACAAGGCATACGCATTGAAGAATGTAGTATTATTTGTTTACGGCCGTGTCTATTTCGTTCAAATCGTTACTTACATATGTACACACATGTTAGTAACTTTATGAAACTCCCTAGTAAATGAAAGAACAATATGTTCTTGCTTCCATAAAATCTCTTTGTAACTGTTTACATGAATAAACAAAAGGTCATTGTCATATGACACTTATTAAGACACTTGTTTTGTTCGCGATAAAATGAAATCAATATGACAAGAGAAATAAACTTGCGTAACGATCATTAAGATATTTTTATATTTTGTATTTTTTTAATCCAATCAAATATTTACATTGGTGAAATAATGCACAGCTGTACATGTTTTGATACATTTCAGGACTTAGTTTGACATTGCCTTCCCGAAAAAAAACCCATTACAACCTAACAATTCGTTATGTATTTGAGAATAACGTTAACATTCCTACGCTTCTGATTTATGTCAGTATATGAACAAGAACCAGCTAATGTAGAATACGTATATACATGTACACCACAGAGTATTGTAGGACTAATGATGATTCAAGATAGCAAAGTGAAATCTGTCCTTAGAACCAAATGTAAAGTCAGCTCAGACAGGAGGAGTACATAATATAACTTATACTGCTTTGATAACAACTGAAAACAAAACAAAATTTCGTAAAAAGCTACAAATAAAGCTTCATCAAAGTTAAGGCTGCCTTAAATATCAAAAAAGGAATATCGATGATCAAATACGATTTTTTCGTAAAAACAGATGTAACTAATTCCTGCATATGTTAAGATATGTTATTCATTAAAATCAGTAATCAATGATATTAAAAATTTAAATGCCGAATAGTAAGCAATTGCAAACTAATTGATCGTAGAAACATTCATCGGCGTCTTTAATAGAGTCAATATCGGATGATTGGCATTAAAAAACATGCAAACATTATAATGTTAACTCAGATGTCTAAAGCATAAAAAAATGGTAGATTTGTAGAAATACATATAAAGCATGAAGTATTAAGCTATAACGGGGACTGATTAGACTGAAACGTGTCCATACCTTGTGCTCCTGTATTCTGTAACAGGTTGATGAAGGCGAGTAGTATCGCATTTGCAGTAATTAATAACATTTTATCACTGGAACGTTCATGCTCGTCAATAGCAGAACAGCGGTTTAAAGAATGCCCTCTTGCATACCACTTAAATATCTATATTCCCATTGGGTAGGTGCACATATTACTAGTTACTATGTAATTAACATAACGGGGAATTCCCCTTCTATCGAGAGACCAATCCAACAGCACGTACCACACACAAAGAGTGCTATTGATTCCGTGAAACACATTGTCTAATTAAGATGCATTGTTCCCCTTGGACTTATTGATAAAGTTATCTAATGAATGGGCTTCAGCGATTATTTCATTCTTTGGAAATAACTAAAGCTAATTTATCACACACATAGTCGTTACAAAGTGCATACGATGTATAAGAATATGTTGATGATATAAAAAGTCGACCCTAATGTAAACGAGGACTAAGAATTGCAAACTGGTTGCCTCCAGATATTACAAGGTGAGGAAAGAAAGTCAAATACAAAAAAAACAAAACACAAACAAAATATATATCCAATAGTTTTACAGGATCAGCAAAGGTTGATCGACAGACTGCGATCCCTTCCTCGACAGTTTAATAGTGAGATAACTGTAGATAATGTCAGAAAGATAGTCTTAAAAGTACCAACACTATTCTGAGTATTATGGCTGCCACTAAAACCTGTAAGCTATGAAGAAAGGGAGACAACTTCAAAAACACAAAATACCACTTAATATGAAAAGCCGTAAAAGAGCGTAGCTTTTGTTGAGCTCTGATATTTACTGATTTAGAATACTGCTTTCAGAATGAGATAAGATAAACTTTATTTAATGTCGCCAAGTCGAGGAATACCAAAAAAACACAAGCTCTAATGTGATTATGACCGACATAACAATAGGGGAAACCGGGGCAAGTTCGGCCCATTTCTGTCATGGTCCGTTCTTGGGAGTATAGCCGCACGTCCGTTTTTGAACCTTATTTAACTTTTCATAACGGAAAATCTGATGGCCGAACAAGCCCCACCATAGGGTGAGTTCGGACAGTCATTCGCTTAAGTTCGGTTCTCATTGGAATCAGCTCAATTATGACGTCCTGAAGCATGCAACGTCAGATTTTACCGCCAATTTTACGACTTTGTATGTGTTACATGGGTCGAACTTGCCACGGTATCATTGGCTGAACCTGTTCAGTCCCAAATTGATATTTCAATAAATTCTTATCGTACAGCAGTATAGTATTACAGAAAGTTCGCATTACTAGAAGCGAGATCATGGTTTTCTTTCTACCCTCTCAAAAGTTATGTTCTATTGTTTAGTTATTTTACATTGGATTTTTCTAGCTTTCTCCCACATTAAGAATTAAATCCTCTGCGTGATTCCGTCACGGCACAAAAAAAGAATGATTGAGATAAATTGGGAAAAATCTGTTTGGTTATTGCTACAGAAAAAAGTGCATATTACATATTTGACAATTAGTCTAAATAAGTGTATAGAGATGTAAGTTAAAAAGAGAAAGAAAAAAACAACAACATTGTAATACTTTGATGTAACTGAGATTGTCGTTATATCGATATGCAGTCTCAATTACTATTCCATCCTGAAACACCGGATTGAATATCAAATTGTGTAACTGTCACCGAGGTTTGACAGGTAATGATGCCAAATAGAATTAAACAGTTTCTGTCTGTTACTAGTTATAAATCGGCACGCGTTGTGAACAAGTAATACGTTGCTGAAAAGAGGCGTTTTTGCTGATTTCGACATTAATGCATTAATTATTGTTTCTTTTACGAGTGGTGGCGATGCATAACTAAATTATGTAAACACTGTAACCAGACTTTCAAAAATGTAAAATGTTTCGTTCGTATTCTCAACAAATGGAAATCAAAAGCTGATGAAATTTTTGATGATGAAAACATAAATGTACACGTTGACTTATTGGTTTAAAGCCGGCTCTTTTTGAAGATATCTCCCGGTAGAAATTTTAACAGAATCTGGCTGATGACAAAAAGGATCTCGAGAAAATATACGCATTTTTACTTGGTGTCCCTGTGGCAAAAACTGAATTAAAAAAAAGTCTTTAAGCTCCGAGAAAGAGATAAATGCAAAGGACATCAGTTCCAAAATGTTCCGGTTATTTTTCATCCTTCCGAAAATAACCGATGAAAGCCGATTGAGTGGGACGTGTTTGTGACGTCATAGTTTGATAATCTCTGAACGAAAGTTCATGCCTGTTTGTATAACATTTTGTGTGATTACCTTTTTTACTAGGAATGTATACTAGTTTTTTTATCTAAATAAACAAGTAATAAAACATGAAGATTGTTTTCACTATATTAAGATGTCCATGTATGGATTGAAACACAATTGTCTTTGCATCAATAATACACTTCCGGTTTCCCCCTTTGACGTCTACTTCCGGGCGATAACAAAATTGAAGGCAATATGGAACAACTCTGTTTACGCACGCATATGTAATTAAAGAGCTTCGCTCGGGCCCCTTCAGCGCCCGAAAGCTACGTTCTAATAATTGTGAAAGATTCCTGCGAGGTGAACCACAAAACAATATTGGGAAAAAGTGACTGCTATTTCTGCCACCTCGGGGTACTAGGGATGTGAAACCTAACACCTGTGTGAGTAGAAGTGCTCAAAGTCCGTTGCAAAGTTCAATTATGAAAGGTACTTAATTAACTTGTTTAGTGTAAAATAACTGGTAAATATATGAAGAAATGAAATATTTATTTGAGGATGCAGAAAGCCAAACAAAGAAGATATTTTGCTGCAACATATTGCTATTCATCGTTTATGCAACAGCGTCAATTACCTTATTCATTTTATATCGCTTTTTTTGTAACCAGAATTTGTCAATTGTAACAGTTCCATACGAGTTATCTCCCTTATATCTTCATGTCGATGTATGTGTCTCTGTACCAAGGACATGTCTTTCATCATTTAACTGTAAAAATGGACAGGTTTTGAAGTCGGGCGTCTCTCCTTTGTAATCTCCAGAGGAGAGGTATCAGTCTAGCGATTGGTCAGGTTTTTTCCACATGAAACCAATCAAACAGCTATCTCCGTGCCTTTAATTTTGCTATGACATATTCCAAGAGTGTAGAGAGATCGAGGATGTGGTCAACCACATCTTACGACCAACTGTGAGCTGATTCGGGTGAGATAAGAAATCTGTGATTCTAAACCGCTATATGTAGCCACAGGTACTAGACTCTCGTCTGTCAATACACCTATAATATAATCTAGGTTGCTAACCCCGTCCCCCTAGTAAAATGACCCCGTTACATAAAACATGCAATGGTGTCACAATATGACGTCGGTAGCAGTATCGATCGACAGGAAACATTTGTTTTCTTTAATTTGATGTATGATTTGCCATATATCATGCAGTATACTTTTCGTAAGACTTTAAGAAACATCGAAAAATGATCGAATTTCAGTTGGTTGGACGCTGTGCTGTCCTCGGGATGACACACTTTATCCCTAGTGGGTAGCGCCTAACACACGCCATGTCCACTATTCAATGTCGGTAAAGTGTTTCTAGGAAACAAACTTACTTGTATTATAGTTCATGACGTTACATTATCATGTCGGACACCCGAGTACAGTTTTCAAGCTGTTCGGGCTGACGATCGGAAATCTGAACAAAGCCTGCCATTTTCTCTAACTTCTGTGACCTCTGTGCTGATTGGCTTCTCAATTTAACGGACCAATCAGCGCAGAGGTCGACCATTTTTCGATATTTCATGAAGTCTACCGAAAATTGACCTGCATGAAATATGGCAAATCATACATCAAATTAAAGAAACAATATTTCCCTGTCGATCTAGACTACTCCCGATGTGATACTATGAACGGTTATGACAAAATCACATAGTTTCTGGAACGGGCTCATTTTACTAGAGGGAGAGAGTTAGTAACCTTGAGTAAATTATAGGTGTATTGACAGACGAGGCTAGTACCTGTGATGCAGCCTCCTATTACAAGCCAAAGGAGCATGATAAGGTGAGTGTGGAAGAGCTTACTAAATCAGACACATTAAAACAAAAAACAAATGACGAGAGTCATACTTGGATATTGGGTGATTTAAATTTCCCCCGATTCACATGGGAGGATTCTTTACAAACTGGAAGGACGATCAGCCCATCACTCCCATATACCAAGAGTTCATCAATATCATGGACGATCATAACCTTGACAAATGGTAAGTAAACCAACCAGCGAGGATAATATCCTGGATCTTTTCCTGACAAGCAATCCCACCTTGGTCAGTCGAGTCACCACACTACCAGGGTTGTCGGATGACGATGCAGTGTATGTCGAGGTAAGACTGTAAAGTAAGTCAGTCAAACAGAAACCTAGGTTATACACTTGTACAAAAAGTCAGTCAAACAGAAACCTAGGTTATTCACTTGTACAAAGTAAGTCAGTCAAACAGAAACCTAGGTCTATACACTTGTACAAAGTAAGTCAGTCAAACAGAAACATAGGCCTATACACTTGTACAAGGTTAGTCAGTCAAACAGAAACCTAGGTTATACACTTGTACAAAAAGTCAGTCAAACAGAAACCTAGGTTATTCACTTGTACAAAGTAAGTCAGTCAAACAGAAACCTAGGTTATACACTTGTACAAAGTAAGTCAGTCCAACAGAAACCTAGGTCTATACACTTGTACAAAGGAAGTCAGTCAAACAGAAACCTAGGCCTATACACTTGCACAAGGTAAGTCAGTCAAACAGAAACCTAGGCCTATACACTTGTACAAGGTAAGTCAATCAAACAGAAATCTAGGTCTATACACTTGTACAAAGTAAGTCAGTCAAACAGAAACCTAGGTCTATACACTTGTACAAAGTAAGTCAGTCAAACAGAAACATAGGTCTATACACTTGTACAAAGTAAGTCAGTCAAACAGAAACATAGGCCTATACACTTGTACAAGGTTAGTCAGTCAAACAGAAACCTAGGTTATACACTTGTACAAAGTAAGTCAGTCAAACAGAAACCTAGGCCTATACACTTGCACAAGGTAAGTCAGTCAAACAGAAACCTAGGCCTATACACTTGTACAAAGTAAGTCAG